TTTTTTTTTTTTTTTTTTTTTTTTTTTTTTTTTTTCTAGTCCTCAAAATCGTGCAAGGGCAACTGGACGCCATGATATGAAAACTACTTTTGGGAATGAGTTTGAAAGTGGGATGCATTGTAGTGACCACTCAGATGATGATGTTTGGCAGCTTATAACTTAAAATAATTATTCAGTGTACAAAAAATAATAAATAATTACTAATATTAATTAATATAAATGTTAATAATTTATCTTCTTTGATTAAGTTTTTCAAAGTTCAAATTTCGACATTGGACAAATATAATAGTATAAGTATTTTTCTTTTTAAAATATGTTTTATTTGAATAAAAAGTTATCTTATTGCTTATTAAATAACAAAAAGTTGAGTTTTTGTAATGTTTATCATTTTATTTGTGTGGTCCAATAATTTTTTCTTAAACCAAATATATAATAATTATATTTCAATCACTCTCTACATTTTCTTTTTTAAGCAAATAAAAAAGTTCTTTAACAAGTGACTTCTATTATCTTAGTTTGTTAGTGTTACTATACTAATATGATATTAGTAATATTACAATGTTATGTAATATTAGATAAAACACAAAGATATCTTCGCCAAATAAGTGACAAAATATTACACAAATAAACTTAACACTGTATCATCATACTTAAAATGTTAAGGCATTAAATCTGTAACTTCTTTTCACCTATATATTGTTCTAACATTTTCATTCTTACCTAATATAAGACTTTTTCTCACATTTGTAATTCCCAATGTATCAAGAAGTTTGCACCTTTTGAAATGGTTTTCCCCAAACAAATGGTCCATATATGTGTCAGGATCAGGACCAACCTGCTTTTAGGCCACAATTTCCAACAAATTTTTTTTCATACGCAGTAGAAAATTTTACAGAAAAATATTTTAAAAAAATGGTGCCAATAGGATGATTCAAATTGGCATGTAATGAGCTTGCATAGAAGCCATAACAATAGAGACACTCGTCACAAAGTTAGGCCTGGAATGAATATAAAATGAACTAATCTTCTTCTAACTTGTGATCTCAGATTCTCAATCTCTTTGGAATAACGACCCTCTCAGCCAACCATTGCACCAATTCATCAGAATCACGGGGGTTACACCAAGTTGCAAATTGCTACAAATGGAATAACTTCTTTTCTTCTGTGGCTTCTCACTTTCTCACACCTGAAATCAGCTTGGTAAGAGTAAGACCTGAACTTTCAGAAATTATTAGCATTCATTACTTGTTAGGATGAACCAAATGATATTCCATTCATTCACTCTACTGAGGGAAATTAACTTCAACACTAGATGTGACTCAACTGAATAAAGATGTTGCTTTTACGCCAATGATTCTATGTATTCTGCAATGAGAAATCCAAAATTTTGTGTATTGTTCCTTGAGGTGAGAGATGCTAGACGTAAGTGACCTAAAGTTTGATGAAGAAGTTGAAATGAACTTCCACTACAGCATGGGACAAATTTGATGTATACTTATGAACTGCAAGGATTGGCCTGCTTTCAATTCCAAAGTCAGAAAAACATGGTTTTCATCTTTTCATATCACTACTTTTTTTTTTCTTTTTCTTTTTTTTTTTTGAAGGAAACTTAACAACCTTCCCACTTGATTCTTTTGGTCCACAGATTCTGAATCTTTTTCACTGTTTAAATCAGAGAGTTAGATTGAAAGTAATAAAAAAAAAAAGGGTTAATAAAAAATTCCATGGTGAGTATGACTGCTGATTCCTCAATTATTTGGATTGGATGGCTTAAAAAACAATGTATATAAAAGGTTAGCTTCACAAAAACCTTATATAATAATTATCTCATGAAGCATCAAAGATGCTACGTAAGCCTCGGCATCTTTTTCACCTTTTTCCTCCAATCCAACCCTATAATTATATTCAACCCAATCTGCATTGAGCCGTGTGTACAACTACAAAGACATTTTCCTGATCTTCGGCTGTGCCTAGAAAGCTGGTAATGTAATTTGTTTTCCACAAGCTTGTTGGGTAAGACATGTCTTCCAAACGTTTGAGTCTCATTTTGCATCACGGAGTTATCTTTTGTCCTAAATTGCTAATCCTACCTAGACTGACACATAGACAACAACACACAAGCCACACAGGCACATGTTCAATAGCAGAATTAAGATTAATTTAAACTCTTTCAGCAACTTACCATGTGCTTGATGCTCTTTCATGCACATAATTTTAGTAGATTTGGCCAATCACATCACATGCAGGGAAAGATTGTGTAGTTTCCCGACATATATATGAACATAGATTTCATGCATATGAAGCATAGTTTGTCTTTAATTTTGTTAGCTCAAGACCTTATATGTGATGAACATGCAGTAATCTCCACGAGCTTGCATTGAGTTGATAAAGATGGATGTGAAAAACTCCCTACAGTTAACTAGAAGTGGTACTGGTCCTTATGATGATGATGGACATGCCAAAAGGACTGGTAAAGTTCTTTAGGACCATAACCAATCCATTTGGATATTATACACTTGAATTTTGAATCCTGAATTTTAGTCATGCCATGAATTTTGCCAGGAAATTTTAAGAGTGCTGTGGCTCATATCATAACTGCTGTTATTGGTTCTGGTGTTCTTTCTCTTGCATGGAGCACTTCCCTTTTAGGATGGATTGGAGGGCCAGTTGCCTTGCTGTGTTGTGCAATTGTCACATATATTTCTTCATTCCTCCTATCTGATTGTTACAGAACTCCTGATCCTGTCACTGGGAAAAGAAACTACTCTTACATGGATGCTGTTAGAGTTTATCTTGGTAGTAACACATTAAAATCTTTCTCATGCTAAACACTGATGATTTAAATGAACTACAATAACAACTTTAAAGTATAATTGTACTTATTGTTGGTTCAGGTAGTAAAAGAACATGGATAGCTGGTTTCCTTCAATTTTTGACTTTGTATGGGACAAGTGTTGCTTATGTAATCACCACAGCAACCAGTCTTGGGTACTTTCCTCATCAAATGAGAAAACCACCCTTTTCATTTTCTTTTTTAATTATTTGATATTTGAGAAACTGGCTTATTGATTTTTCTTTGTTTTTGTTGGGGCTATATGAGCTAATGAAGCATGTTTATTCATTCTGCTATACAGTGCAATTCTGAGGTCAAATTGTTATCACAAGAAAGGGCATGAGGCTCCTTGTAATTATGGGGGCAATCTGTATATGGCACTGTTTGGACTTGTTCAGATTGTAATGTCATTCATACCGGATCTCCATAACATGACATGGGTTTCAGTTGTTGCAGCAATTATGTCCTTTACATACTCATTCATTGGACTAGGACTTGGCATAGCAACAGTCATAAGTAAGGCTCATCTTCAATCAATTATAGTCAATTTAGTATGCTTATTTTATTCAGCATACTAGTAGTCTTTTACTTTCAATTTCAAGCCTTCTAAATTATGATAAGGATAAAACTTAAGTAAAGTTTCTTAGATGTTATTAATGTTATTTTTCAATTAAAATTAAAATTTTACCTCAATAATTTACATAATCTTGCATATTTTTATTAGATTGATTACTAAAGTCAAACTTTAAGTTTAATTGGAGAATAACTCTAATTACACTGAATTGTACCTAAGTTTTTTCCTTTTAAAAATAGCATGAAGAAAGAAAAATATTAGTGTCCTAAAATCCATATCATGCTGCTACTCCCACATTGGTTCTTAGGACTTTGGTTGCACTTGCAGAAAATGGAAGAATTATGGGGAGCTTGACAGGAATACCAACTGATAAAATTGCTGACAAATTTTGGTTAGTCTTCCAAGCACTTGGCGACATTGCCTTTGCCTATCCATATTCCATTCTCCTTCTTGAGATTCAGGTATCTTAACATTCATGCATATTCAAATTGGGTGACATAAAAAGAAAAGAATTTATAGCTGAAACAAGGTTTTGACTTTTGTTGAGCAAAGGACACTCTTGAGTCTCCTCCACCAGAAAATCAAACAATGAAAAAGGCCTCCATGGTTGCAATCTTCATCACAACATTCTTCTACCTGTGCTGCGGATGCTTTGGATATGCAGCTTTTGGAAATGACACACCAGGAAACCTCTTGACAGGGTTTGGCTTTTTTGAGCCTTTCTGGCTCATTGACCTTGCTAATGCTTGCATCATTCTTCATTTGGTTGGAGGATATCAGGTACCATTAGTATTAATGTTACTATCAAACTTAAAATAAAAAAAAAGACTAAAATCATTTAAAGTTAAATAAGTTTATCAAAAACTTTTTTTTTTTTTGGTGTGTGTGTGCAAGTTTATCAAATACTTTTTACTTTACACTTTTTTTTTTTGAGAAAACAATTCCAAATACAACTAATGAAAATGTTTTAGTAGAATTATTTATTCTTCCATTACCCTTTAATCATGTTTGTGCTTCATCCATATGTTCTCCTCAGATTTACAGTCAACCAATATACAGTACTGCTGATAGATGGGCTTCAAGAAGATTCCCCAACAGTGGATTTGTGAACAATTTCTACAAAGTGAAACTGCCTCTTCTGCCTGGTTTTCAGCTAAACCTTTTCAGGTTCTGTTTCAGAACAACCTATGTGATTTCAACCACTGGTTTAGCAATCTTGTTTCCTTACTTCAACCAAGTTCTAGGAGTGTTAGGAGCCATAAACTTCTGGCCATTGGCTATATACTTCCCAGTAGAGATGTACTTTGTACAGAAGAAAATTGCAGCTTGGAGCAGCAAATGGATTGTCCTCAGAACATTCAGCTTTGCATGCTGTCTTGTGACTGTAATGGGTCTGATTGGCTCACTTGAAGGAATCGTACGTGCCAAAATTAGCTGAAATATTTATCACATCGTTTCTCGCAAGAGTCTGTTTAGATAAATATTTTTATAAACACTTATAAGAAAAGAAAATATGAAATAAAATTGAAATAAACTTTTTCATACACTAAAATTTATACATAAGTTATTATGTAAAAATTTTCTCGTATCAGCTTATTCAAAAACTTGTTTTTAATTTATGAATAAATTACACTTATGTTAAGGAGGAGTTTATTTTGATTTTTTTTCTTCTCTTACAAGTATTTATAGAAAAGTTTATTTAAGCAGACTTTAGTTAATACTTGATATATATACTTGAGCTTCTGTAAATTGATTGCATAATTTATAAAAGTTTAAAGATGATGCTAGTCTTATTGAGAGTTAGTCAAAGGGTAAGCAATTGTGGGGGCTTCTAAAAGTGATTAAAGTGGTACTAGGCATGCAATAATACAAGTTTCGTTTGATGCTGAACTCACTTCAAAGGAGAGAGTTCTAACAAATTTTTAGCTTGATAATAATAAAATTGCACTGTATCAAACAGATTATTAATTTTTTAAATTCATCATTATTAGCCGCATGTTTTATTTTCCAAAGCTTTATTTTAGAAAGAGTAAATAACATATGCATATGTGTGTGGTAAATTTGTTCTTTTTCTAATAACTTGTTAAAATGTATATTTAACATGATTTTTTATTGGTTAATAGTATAAAAATTGTTACAATAATAGTTTCCTTAATTCCCTTTGTGTGTACAAAAAGAAAAGAAATTATTAGAATACAAAGAACTGTTTTTTCTTCTTCTCAATTTTGTTGCACGATACCGTCTCTTTTATGGCCATTTTTCTTGCATGCATATTGGTTTTATTTGTAGACAATTTTATGTTTTTGGGTGAAAAGATCCAATTCTTCAGAGAAATGCATGTCTTTTAGTGAAGAAATACATTTCATCTTAGAGACACGTCCTTTCATATAAAAAAACTACATTAATTTCTTACTCACATTTTTTTTCATGAATAGTCACATTTTTCATGAAAAAACACTAATATGAATGAGAATTTTTCTACAAATAAGTTTACGAAAAAAACTTAATTAATTTACTAAAAGAACTAAACAAACTCTTAATCTAATTTATTTTTTTAAAATAAATATGACCTAACATACGTTCCTACTTCCTATCTACCAACCTAGTCTATTCTCATTCATAATGCTCCACACCAAGTCGTGACCTAATTATGCAATATTCTAAAGTCAACCATGCGAAACTGAAGGTGTGAGAGACGTAACTTTGATTTATTCCCTCCTCAACTAGCAAAAGCAATGGCTAACACTTGCCAAGAAAAAAACATTCAGAGTCCTGACATGATCATTGAGATTTGAATTTGAAAAATATAATAAGTGATAAGAATCACTTCAAACATGTTAGCTAAAATAATTGTTTTTATATATCATTGAAAATTAAGCTGCACAGATACGGAATGAATGCTATAAAATAATTGTTTTACGTCTAATTATAGAGTTATTAGGACAAACCAAAAATTTAAATTTTCGTTGAGTTAGTGTTATTTCGAACAAAATAGTTTCTATGCATGTGAGAAAAAAAAAATCTGAATCTTGTTTGTTGGTATGCATGAACATGTTTCTGATGACACAAAATAATACAAGTGACTGACACATGGTACATGAACAAGGCAGAAGAAAACACATCGACAGTACTCATAGTTAATTGAGAAGGAAAACCCGTGATGGCAAGCTATATTTGGGAGGAGTTATAATTTTATTATATCTTTTTTATTGGATTAAATAGAAATTTGATTAATAAAAGACATTTACGGTTTAGCAGTGTTACTACCTATTATAAGCATTAATTAAATAATTTGACACATCTAAAATCTGATATTAATTTTATTAACATTTTTTCTAATTTAAAACTGTTTAGTTGGATATATGCCAAGGAAACCTACCCAAAGTTTCCCACATGCAGAATCATATTGAATCAAATCCTATGGATAAGAGAATGAAATGCCTAACCCTTCATATTTATCATCACGTAGTACTGATTCATCACTTTCAAGTTTGGATCTTCTCCAATGTTTTCACCATTTCTATAATTTTGGATGTATAAATAATATAAAATATTAATTACAAAAAATAATTTACATTTAATATCATGTATACACTCAAAACTAAAAAAAAAAAGACAAAAAATGAAGAGAAAGAAATGGAGAACATCTCAATTCATTACTTCTACTTTTGTTATATACTTCAGTTTTCTATGATATTGTAAAATATTTTTGTGTAAGTGCAAGAGAAATTAATTTTAGTCATTTAATTTAACAGTTAAAATTAATCCATCTCCTCCTCATATTAAAAAAATTCTCTCTCTCACATAATATTCTCTCTCTATATATTCTTAAATTACTCGATTTCAAATCCTTAAAGTAAGGGTGGGCAACAGGCGGGTTCGATCGAGTTCGGGTGAAAAATGTTCAATTCATTATAAATTGACTTTGAAAAAATATGACCCATATCCGACCGACTGAACTTTTGATTTGAAGCGGTTCGGGTTGAAACGGGTTCGGATCTGAGCGGGTGGATACAATCGAGTTTGAGATTTTTTGTAGACCAAGTTATCTTAATGAAGGTGAAGCTTAAAACGGTAAAATAAATAAATAAAAACAGTGTATAAAAATAGAATGAAGGTGACAATAGATGGTGTAAGTAGATTCGTAGATGAAACATTCACAAACTAAAGAAGCAAAAACAAAAGATAACAAAATCCATAGTTGTTACATGCAAAAGAAATCTAAAGTTAGATTACAAAACCCATAAGAAACCACAGCCGCACAAATTATACTCAAAATGGAGACAAGAAGATGGAAAAAAAACGACAGAAAGAAACAAAAAGAAAATTCTAAAAATGGACTAGTGCGTTGAGATGTTGAATGAGGAAAGAGAAGACAAAAGAAACATCTAGGTTATGAGAAAAAGGAAAAAAAAATAAGTTACAAATTAATGACTATATTATACTTGAAATAAAAATTTTGGGCCATTGTTGTTTAGTTATACAAAAATAATAAAAATCTAAGTTTATCTCATTTTTGGTTGGGTTTGATTTTTAGCAGGTTTAAAAATTTAAAATCGAATTTGCCTAATATAACCCGTATAAAATCAAAATTTTAACTCGATTTACTCATAAAACTCGCTCAAATCCACCCAAAAATAATTTTTATCGGATTTTTCGGGTTCGATTCGGGTCTCGGTTTCATGCTCACCCCTACCTTAAAGAGGAGTTACGATATATATTGATATTGTAAAATATTTTTATATTATTATTCATTCAAAAATCATTATGCATAATAAATTTGTTCATTGATAATAATTATTATAAAATTATATCACATAGTGTGAATATTTTTTTTTATTAACTGGGCATCAATTAAACTTATCATCAAAAAGCTCACATATCACAAAATGGGATCGATGATATCCATTAATTTAAAAGCCAAGAATCCTATTCCATATTGGCCTTTATATTTTAGCTTACAAATTTTATTATTATGTATTTTGAATAATTTTTTAAACTAATTAACTTTATATTTTTTAAATTTAACAATGTAGTCCCATCATCAATTTTTAAACCACTTAAAAACTTTAAATTATTATTTTCTTTACAAAGTTTATGGTAAATAATTTAGAATATAATTAAAATTGGATGACTCCAACCTTACATTCTTGGCTTCATAACTTCATTTCTCCAACTCAACTAGGCTTGATTAACTACACGGAGAGGAAGAAAAGGGTTTTTAGTGAAAAATAATAATGAAGGTCCATTCGAGCTCTAGAGGACTTCTCACTAGCTTCTCTATAAGTTTTCCTTAAAATTGAACTTATGAGGTAAGAAAACCTTATATACCCTTTCTTAAACTGATCTAACTTATCTCAAAGACCAACTTAACTCTCAAAGTCCCTCTAATCTTAGAGTTTTAGAAACAACTCATCTAACAACAAATATAATTAAATATTAAACCACACAATTTTGCCTCAAGAACTCGAAGACCTTCAACAACTCCTAGTCTAACAAGCCCACAAATATTAAATATTCTCTATACCCACCAACCACAAGACCTTCAACAACTCCTTGTCTTACAACTGTTTCACACCAATTTGCCTCAAGAACTCATTAGCTATCATAATCATCCCACAACAAATGTACCTAAATCAAAATCCACCTTGAGATTTAAATCTCTAAACTACTCAATCAACTCTAACTTTGACCATCAATGAAGAAGCATGGATGGACTTCCTGTTCAATGTATCCACCACTACATTGGCCTTTCCAAGGTGATACATCAACTGAAAATCATAATCTTTTAAAAACTCTCCCTACCTCTTTTTCCACATATTAAGCTCCTTCTGATCAAACAAGTACTTCAAACTTTTATGATCATTGAAGACATTGAACTTGGCACTAAACAAGTAATGTCTCCAATTTTTTAAGGTGAAAACCGCTATTGCCAATTCCAAGTCATGAGTAGGTTAATTCCTCTCATGCACATTCAACTGCATTGAAACATAAGCAACTACTATCCTTTGTTGTATCAATACACACCCTAACCACTGATGAGAATCATCATAGAACACATCAAAAGACTCATTGGGATTGGGCAACACCAAAATTGGAGATGTGGTCAACCTTCTCTTCAACTCCTGAAAACTTGTGTTTGTTCACACAAATGGTTGATCATTCCTAGTTAATTGAGTTAGTGATATCATTATCTTGGAGAACCCTTTAATGAATCTTTAATAGTAACTCATTAACCCCACAAAACTTCTACTCTAAAAAGTAGTCTAAGGTCGCTCCCACTACAATATCATCTCCACTTTGATTGGATCCATTACAACTCCCTTGGTAGAAATCACATGGCCTATAAATCTCACCTCCTCCAAACAAGACTCACATTTTGAGAGTTTAGCAAATAATTTCTTGTCCCTCAAAATCTCCAACACTAGCCTCAAATGCTCCCTGTGTTCCCCCTTAGAACCAGAATATTTAAGAATGTTGTCAATATACATAATAACAAACATATCTAAAAATGACCTAAAAATACGAATCATGTGTTCCATGAAAACTGTAGGGCCATTTTTCACTATGAACAACATTACCACATATTCATAGTGCTCATACCTAGTCTTGAGGACAGTCTTAGGTACATCAATGTCCCTGACTCTAATATGGTGTTAACCCAACTTCAAGTTAATCTTGGAAAAAATAGAGGCTCCCCTCAACTGATCCATTAATAATTTTGAAATGTAAAAGTTAGTTTTTTTTTAAGAAATTTAATAAAATTTAAAAGATTTAAAATATTTTTATACATAAGATATGAG